TAGTTTTGTTTAAGAACAAGTTTAGATGTGTACTTCCTAAAGATTACATTTACTGTTTGTCTAATGCTGGTTATTAGTTGTAATGTTTGAAACTTTTTGTAATATTATTTACACTTACAAAAAAAAATGGTTTGGTTTTGTCCACTTAATATATCTTCTACACTGTCTGAACCTGGGGAGATATTATTGGAATTATGCTGAACCTGGTGAGATATTATTGGGATTATGGAAGAGAATGTTAACATTCAAGGCTTTCCAATATATAGGCATCTGTATGAGGTGATTCAAGATCCATTGAAATGAAAGATGAAACAGTAATGCTAATGTTTTATTAATAATCATATGGAATAAAATAGTACAAGTTACTGATGTTTTTACACGGGTAAAAGTTTTATCAGTGGTATGTGAAATTGAAATATTATAATTATTTTTTAAAGCAAGTCGTATTTGAAAATATACCAGTACGAGTGTGAAAGATTAAACAGTAGGTTTGTACCATTTTCAACTAAATTTTATTTGGGAGTTAAAGCTCAAAAACAATAAATACAAAATGGTCGACCCAGTTACTAAAGCTCACTCGAACCTTTGTTATCTAGCTATGATTTAATGCATTATATCAGAATTCTAATTGGTTTGTTATATATATAATTAGTAACTTTAATTTGTAAGCTACTTTTTCGTTTCAGATCATTAAACTGAATTTACTATGATTAGAGACTATTGAGATTTGCCTGTAACATTATTTCACTATTCCAACATACGGTACTGTTTATGAGTAAGTTATCCAAACTGTTAGAATGATTATACACCAGGATCAAGTTTCCTCTGCCCTCCAGTGGCACATCTGGATACTTGTACTGCTAGAAACTGGGTTTTGATACCCGTGGTGGACAGAGCACAGAGTAAGTTATCCAAACTGTTAGAATGATTATACACCAGGATCAAGTTTCCTCTGCCCTCCAGTGGCACATCTGGATACTTGTACTGCTAGAAACTGGGTTTTGATACCCGTGGTGGACAGAGCACAGATAGCCCTTTTTGTAGCTTTATGTTTATGTACTGTTTATGGGTAAGTTATCCAAATTGTTAGAATGTTTATACAGCAGGATCAAGTTTCCTCTGCCCTCCAGTGGCACATCTGGAGACTTATACTGCTAGAAACTGGGTTTCGATACCCATGGTGGACAGAGCACAGATAGCTCTTTGTGTAGCTTTATGCTAATTAACAAACAAAACAACAAGTTTATTCTAGTTCTGTAAAAAAAATTAAAGTATTCAGACCTCTCTTTGTAGTTCAAATTTAATATACTACATGTACTGTGTCAGTAGTTTTTCTTGTTGATATCCTTTCTGCCAAAATTAAACATACTGTTCAAAATGAGGTTTCGGCAAAGCCATTAACTTTCTTTAAATCCAACGGCACTAATAACTCTAGACAACACTCTTAAACGTTCACTTAGAAGTTAGTTGTTAGGAATTCTTTCACAGTAAATGGAAATACCAAACATTTTAAACTAGTTCCTGGCACTGCTTATTAAAGCAAAATGTAGATAATAAGCTCAATAGTTTAGTTGTTTGACTTGTATTATTATAATGGATTACATTGACACTGTACTGGAAAGTAAAATTTTGATTAAGTCTTAGCTTATGACATGTTTGGTATTGGTATGTATGTATATATATATATATTTTTTTTTCATGCTTCATAACTGCTTGTTAAAAGACTGTTATACAAGTTTGGAATGAAGACCTATAGATATTTGAAAACATGATTCTTTTTTAACTTGAAGAGAAAAATTTTCTGTTATTAATTACATGATCCATTTCGAGGATTTAGTCTGAAAAATTGAAAATGGAGATTTAGTAGCATTTGAACTTACTTACAGCTATCCCTATTTAACCTCACTGTACTCTTCCAATTCGAGTGATTACATATTTGTATATGTTTACACAAAGACGTACCTTCAGCCTGTCATGTCAGACAGGAACTTTGAGGAAGGTGTCATTGTGTAAACATTGGTAGTTTGGAATCATGTGTAATGTTTAAAGGTTTGACAATGCACTACAAGTGATAGGAAAAATATAGATATACAGGGGTTTTCTTTCAATAGGGTGGGGAGCTTACACCTAAACTCAATCCCACCCACACTAGGTTTGTTTCGTAAATTTGAGGGTTTTATTTCTAGGTGATGATTTTTGTGTGTAAAAGCTATGTAGCCCCCTCAAACAAAATCCTAGATATATGCACAAAATTATTCATGAATTTTAATTTTGTTTTACAATACTGACAACATTAGATATTTAACTACAACTCAATTAAAGTATGCCAATCAAAACTCTCCGATAAAGTGTAATATGTAAAACATCACTGATTTTTACTTATTTTTAGGTACCTTTCATGTTGTTTTCTTTTTGTCTTAGCGTTCACCTTCAGTGTTAGTAGGACGGTAAGAGAAACACTCAAAAATGTTAATGGTAAAATCCTACCTCGATGGGCTAATTTTGCTGACATAATGCTCTTAACTTTACTGAAATACAGATGGGTTTAACTCGGCCCTTGTAAGAAACCTTATCGATTTCCAGTAAAATTACTCTCCACCAGAAAGGTTTTTTTAGATATAATTAGTTCTTTTAAGTTTGTTTTTTTTAAATATTCTTTATTATTGCAGAATACTGAAAAGTAATCCAGTAATTACATTTTACCAGAAAGGTTCTTAATCCTGAGAAATGAAAAAGAAATTTATTTTGGATATAATTAATTCTTTTAAGTTTTTTAAGTTAGTTAGAACATATCTTGTCACTGTTACTGATAAAGTCTGTATGAAGGTCATGAAACAAAGAGCCCATAAAAAAAAACAACCAGATTGAGTTAATTAAAAAAAATTGTGATGGGATTATTGCACAAAATGGTTGGAAAAATAATTGAAATTTCTAATATAATAAAACAGTGACACTGGTGTGAGATAATGTTGATAGTCTGCTTCAGTTTCTTCATCACATGAACTGAAATGCAGGTGATTCACTCGTCTTTTTCTATTTTTAAAGTTCTTTTGTATATGTTTATTGTGTTTGAAGTTTTTTTTCCTGGTGATCATGTAAAGTAAAGTTAGTCCCACTTGTCCCATGTTTCAAGATGATGTTTTGTGAACTCATTAAGTAAGTGTAATCAGTTATATTGGACTCATGGCTATACTTCAAGATTCTATATAAGAGGGAGTAATTGTAAAATATTATCTGTTTTATCTTTAAATATTCATTATCTCTTTTTCTTTAACCTTTTTTTTCTTTCTGACCGTCTCGATCAATAAATTGT